TAGTATTTTGGCCCTATTACAATAACACATATTCATTAACTCACTCCTTAGGGTCTAAAATACACTTACAATTTACAATTCACATAATACAAGTAAGGAACAAATAAGAATTCCTAATTGACAATTGAAATTATCATACACATATAATTATTCAAAATAAAGAGGCCTACTACAAAAGGATTGCGATACTAAGCCTCTGGGTGTTTTTCTGTATCCATACCTTTTGAGCTATTCTTTGTAATATTGAAGATAATAGGATGAGTGCAACTACTCAGTAACCAAGGTCCAACTAACCCATACTAATGCATATCAATTAGTTTAAATACAAGCGATAGTTAATGTCAATACTTTAACCCATGTAAAACATTTGAAAATAGATATTCACATTTCCACTCACATATAGCATTTACTTGAGAAACAATGTTTTTTAGCACTCTTCATATAAAGAAAGTTGGTCACACAAATCATTGACAAATACATTGAAAAAAATTAAGACTCAACTCGTGATATCATTATTAGGAACACAATATAGACAATAGGCACCCTTACTCACTATATGCATGATTACACCTTCCTTATATTCTCCTTATTCCTCTAATATGAAACCGTGGTTTATAACTCAATAAGATTGTCTATATTCCATGACTTCCCTACCCTAAATACTTGTGAGGGGATTATTAGGTCAAGGCCCACCCAACTTACTTATGGAACATGATTTCCTCGATTTCTCACACTATGAGGTGTTATACACTCTAAACTAGCCTCCCTATTAAACCGGTAGATAGCTAGCTAGATTCGAGTCTCTCATTGAACCAGTAGGATAGTTCCTTGTTAAACAAGTGAGACAATATAGATATAATCAATCCGGCAAACCATTTCATGGATGGGCCTTACCACCTCTCAAGATCATGCAATGCACATTCATGCCATAATTCACACATATACAATTCATAGAACTTCATATTATCAATTTTCATTGAACTTCATCATTACACAAATCATTGGACTTCTTAAATACATTTTCATAGAACTTCAAACCAAAAAAAAGTCATTGAACTCCAACTTCACAATCATTGTACATTCACACTTTCAAAATCATTGAACTCCACTATTTCGAACATCATTAAACTTCTCATAAACAAAGGTTCATGTTACTTCTCAATTTGCAAAATCATTAAGCTCCCAATAAACATAATATAAAAATCCACTAATATTGTTCTCTAAGAAATTTTACATCACAAGGCATAGAACTCACAAATTTGATCTAGTGGATTTTTTAACAAATCAAGTCACACTTGCATTTCTTTTTAATTTAAACATTGTAATGATAAATCATAAATCCATAAACTAATAGACACACAAAAGCATAAAATAGAATTTTCTCAGTTATCTCAAACCTTTGAGAAGTCAAAGGTTTCACCTCTCAATTACTCACTCTTAAAGCTTCCAAGAAGCTTGAATGGTGCCAATGGTAGTTACTCTACAAGCATTTACCATACAAAACATCAATATCCATTCTTGAGCTTTTTTCCACTAACACTTTATCATTTTTTAATACTCAAGATTTATTGTTGACTTATGTAAAAGTACCCATAAAGCGTATTAGCTTCCTTTAACTCTCATTAATGACATTGAGCTCTTAAATAGTCATTAATGAAACCACATTGTTCCCAACCATTTTAATATTTACTTAGCTCAATCTACTCTCATTATAATGTTTCAAACCACATGATGAGAATTTCAGACATTTTAATATTCTCCAACCACCAATCATCATAAAACCATAAATATTAAGTTTACTTAGCTCAATCTACTCTCATTAACTTTATTTAAGTCAATAGGTTTAGATTCATAGCTTTTGTGGACAAAAAATTACCATTATCAATCAAACCCTAACTTCTACCATCAAGAAAATGGAAGAAGAGGGAAAGATTTAAGTAAGAAAGCTTACCTTTGGTGTTTATGAGCTCTAAATTACTCATATAAGTCGGTTTCTTCAAACTCGAGCTTAGCTTCTTCATTCTCTTTGCTTTTCTCTTCCTCTTCTCTGTTTTTCTCACGTAGATACGAAACTGATATATTAAATTTTTAGCTGTGTACCGCAACGCACGTTGCCCTCCACCGTGACGCATGGCACAAAGGAGCCTGTCGGATTCAAATCTGCCTCTATGCGCCGCAGCAAAATGACCACGCATTGCGGCATATGGTACAAAGAGTAAATCTTCACTTTTTCTTCTTCTTTCCTTGCCTGGGTGGCCCGTCATCGATCCGGACCCACTTCTAGGGCTGAAATCACAACAATTATATCAAGTTAAGCCCCTTTAGCCACACACCTCATTAATACACTTAATTAGTCAGTTTGAGCTTTAAATCTGATGTGAAATTGAGGATGTTACATAGTTTGTCTTTAATATAAGAGGTAGTGTTATACAGAACTCTACTTTTGTTTGACCCAATTTGACTCGAGAAGGTTCGGGCTTGTCCTATCTTGTTAAAAACTAATCCTTGAAGACTAAAAAGATTAAACAAATTAGATTGTTTCTTTAAGTTGGATAGGACAGGAGATCAGACATCTAGACCCCTTGGTCTAATCTGGTCCTATTAAATTTATTTAATATAATTATAATTAATTTACTAATTATTTATAATAATAAGTTAAGACTATTAATAATTTAATAGGTTTGGTTCCTCACATTGTCACATGCTTAGACTAATAATTTAATAATCTAGACCACTTGGATTGTAATTGAAATATTTTTTCTTGTTGTTAGAAATTATTTTGAATTTATTATGATTATAAGTATTTTTATTATCTTAATTGAATTTATTAGGTTGGAATGGATTATTACTTCTCATAGAGGAAAAGGAAAAAAAAATGCTAAGTGAATACTAGACTAACAGGACCAGTCTCCTAATCCAATTGACCAAGTTCAGTCTTGTTAACCTTCAAGTTATAATTGAACCAGACTGAACTATGGGTTACCTATCTTACTCCTTTTCATGAAAGAGACCAAACTTTGGGTTAGGTCAAAGTTAAATCCTGTCCAGTCTTTTGTGTAGCTTTAATAGGTAGAGCCAGTAATTCGGATGGGCCGAGCTTCTTCAGATCAGGCTCAATTTAAGCTGAGTTTATTCAGATGGAGCTTAAAATATCATACCCTTTCTAAAAAGCCTATGCAGCCAAGCTCAACCTTAAAGCCTTTAGGCTTCAGGCTTAGTCGAGGCAGCCTGAATACTAAAAAATTTTTAAAAATATTTTTTTTTTATTTTTTAAATCAATTTAATTTTTAAATAAATATGTTAAGCATAAAATATTATTTTAATTTTAAAATAATAAAATAAAAAATAATAACTTATTAACTTTACACTTAAGTAATTCTGTTACTATTTTATTGTATTATGTATAATTTATTTATAATGTTTTATTTACTTCTAAATTAATGTTTTAGTTGTTTAAATATACTTTTATCGTAATCATATATAAATATTTATATATTTTAATTATGATCAAGTTGATTCCAATTTGATCATAGTTAGACTTATCATTGCCTCGATTAGTTGAAATTTTTTTATAATTATTGGATAAACTGTACTTTTTATTTTTAAGAATATGAAAAAAAATCATTGTAATATTATACAAAATAAAATCATTTAATTCTAAGTAAAATAAAATTAAAAATAATTTTAAAAATAAAATATTATTTTTTAATTTTTTAACTTTTTATATTATTTAACCCCTACATACAAGGAGTATTAATTTAGTTTATTTTTATAAGAATATTATTTTATTTATTATATTTATTTAGTAGTAGAACCAAAAATTTGTATATGCTCAACTTTTATTTTTGAAATTATTTTTACTTTAAAATTAATTATTAATTGTATAAAATATAAAATATATTTTTTTAGATATTCAAATGATGTATAGGACTCAAAATTTTTTTTAAAAAAATTAGTTATTAAAATATAAAAATAAATATTAAAATATATTTTAAATATTATTTTGAGATATTTTATTGATTAAAAATAATAAAAATATGAAAATATAAATATTTTTAATTACTATTAGTAATGCATTCAAATACATGGTATTTTAGAATAAAATGACATAGAAATTAAATAATTAATTAATATTTATTATATTTTATATATTTTAAAAAATTTATTTTTATACTCCGGTATTCGGGCAAAATCCAAACCTAATTGGGCTTGGCTCTAATTTTTTTAAACCTATTAAAGCTGGCTAAATAGGCTTGACTATTAAAAAATAATTATTTTCTTAGTCTTGGCTTTAAATTTTTTGGACGGGTTTGGGTTGGCTTGTCAAGCTTAACCCAAATTACCGGCTCTACTAATAGGAGGTGTCATGATATTTTTGAGCAATTAAATAATTTTGCACTTGTCTTAAAAAAAGAATAAAGATATTAATTGTGTGTTTTATCCACCACCATTGTAATATTAATTAACATCATTAGGAGCAAAATTAAAAAAAATATTGTAATTTAATGTAATTTCAACTAAATAACAAACTTTTTTTTAATATGCAAAATTTAATTAAAAATTCCTTATATATAAGGATAGAGGAAGTATTTGTTTAATGCTATTGTTTCCTTTCTTGTTTAAAATGAATTAATATGTTATTTAAAATGCACTCTCTCTATTTTAAATTATAAGATACTTTTAGATAAAATTATACATATAAAACTTATTAAATACAATTTACACTCTACTTTTTCAAAATAAAAAATAAAAATTTTTAAAAATACTTTTTATTTAATTTTTCATTTGCCAAAGAATATTAAGGAAATAGAATATATGAAAAAAATAATACTAATAAAATTTTATTTTTATTAAAATATTTTATATTTTAAAATTTTGAATTCTTACTACAAATCTTTCATAGTTTAAAGCGAAATACTATTAATTTATTAATTATCAGTTCCACTGTGATGTGAATCGACAGTTCGAAGTTCAAACCAGGTCCCGTTCGCTTGTTTCCTGCGCACTATCTCTTTCCCGAAGTCAGCCAAGGCGGCTTGAAGCCATTCAATACTTTCAATTTTTTCATCTTCCATTATCTTGTCGGCTTCTCGTTCCTTGCCTTGATCCCCACTCAAATCATCCATACCCAATTCTTCATTCACCATCACACTATAAACACCCCCCATAATGAAAATGCCTCTCGTTCAAGGCCACAATCCAATCATGGAAGACGCCTTCGATTTGGCTCAGATCTCTCTTCGACCCCTCCTTCTTTCCGACGCTGACGATTTCATGGTCTGGGCCACCGATGAGCGAGTGACCAAATTCTGCAGCTGGGAACCCTATACAAGCAAAGACGCCGCCGTCGATTTCATCCAAAACTTCGCCTCAACGTGCTTATTGTACCGAGCGATTTGCGTCGGCGATCGCGCGATTGGGTCGATTTCTGTTCGATCTTTCGCCGGGGATGACGTGGCCAGAGCGAAATCTGCAGAACTTGGGTATGTTTTAGGGTCGAAGTATTGGGGGAAAGGGATCGCGACGAAGGTGGTGAAGCAGGTGATGGAAATGGCTTTCGTTGAGTTGCCGGATCTGGAGAGGCTTGAAGCTCTGGTTGATGTTGAGAATGTGGCGTCTCAGAGAGTTCTGGAGAAGGCTGGGTTTCAGAGGGAAGGAATTCTCAGGAAGTTCTTGTTCATGAAAGGAAAATCCAGAGACATGGTCATGTTCAGTGTGATTTCAGACGAAGCTCGAGCTTGATTTGTTATATGTTCATCTTCATCGTCGTTCTTAGCTTAGCATGAAGCCAGTAGCGACTTCGAATTCGGATTTCGGATTTCAAAATCAAATGGTCTGAGTTCAGACTCAGAGCAACTGATTACTGAAGGCGGTGGACATGTCTTTGGTCTATGCGCAGCGTTTCATGAAGCGTGTATAATTAATGAAGGAATCATCAATTAATTTATTCTTTATTTTTGCATCGCATATAAATTAAAATAAGTCATCAACCTACTTCTACAAATGTCGTAAGATTCATCTGATCGGTCAGCTAAGGGTGCAATCTCATTTGAAAGAAGAATTAATATTTACATGTATTCTGATTTTTTTATTGGTCTATATACATATATATATATATATTTTTTTACTCTAAGGTCTTTGTTTTATATCGCTCTTCCCCTTCACTTTCTAGATTCTTCTCAAAACATCTCCCATTGGTCAATTATTTTTTTTCCATTTCAAATTTTTAAAATCCATTCATCTTTTTTGAATGAATTTAATAATCAATAATTTTTAATTTTTAATAATTAATATTATAAATTTAATAATAAATAATTTTTAATTTTTAGTAGCCAATATTAATAATTATTTTCATTTTATACGAGAAATGGTTATATTCATTGACCAAAGGCATAACCTTCTATACTAGATATTAGTGTTTCCTTTTATTAATATCCACATTCTTAAGAAAATATGAATTTTTTTGCACACTTTTTTTAAATAGGCATTAAAAAATGGTATTTTTTCATGGCAACTATCTATTCCCAATGTGCTTCATGGGCCAGCAAATGCACTAACTTATCATTGAATGTTGTGATATTCATCCTTGCCTTGTGATATGCATACTATGTAATACATAAAATCTTCACTCATTTGTTATTCTTTCCATTCTTGTGATCAAAATGGGTTTGGGTGCTATGATGAGATTTGGATTATTTAAATTTTGATCTGGATGGTCCAGATTGCATGCATTATTATATATTTTATTTATTAAAATAAAAATTTATAAAAATTTTAACTAATTTTAATAAATGTTTATTTTTAATATAGTATAGATTTAATTTAGAGGGTCCAATTTAATATTATAATTTTTATAATTGATATATATTGATTATCTAAATGTATTCTACACAGGTTAGATTAATCTTGAAGAAGTATAAAGCTTCTAGTCATCCATGAAAACTTATCTTTCATGCAAATACATTTGTTCATAAGTATGATGCAAATGTTCTTGAGTATTGTTTTGATTTCACTACAATCAATGAGGTTATCCATAGAGCTGCCATATCCAAAGACAAGAAGAAATTCGAATACTTCTTTGTTTTGATTTCTATGTTTTTTTTTTCATTATGTTATGCATATCATTATCCTTAATATAATGATGTTGTGTTGTTTATTACAAATGTAGTCGATTTCTTGCAAGGTTTTGGCTCTATTCAGGATAATAAGTCCGAGGATGAGAATAAAAAAGGGTAGTGATGTTTATAGCTGATCAAGAGTTAGTTATTAAGCATCTCTAACATAATTTAGACAAGTACAATTCTTATTATGATGTGTTTAATAGATAATCTAAATTCATGTTCATTCCAGAGAGAAATCTTTAAATGTTGTTCTGTTTAGTGACATTGCTGTTGATGCTGTAAAAGACAAGGGGGAAGATATTATTCCTCCTATAGTTGGTGTCATACAGACATGTGTTCTGGGATTGTTTTTAAAGGTGAATATGATATATTTTCATTATTTAAAAGTTAGCGTGTTCATTCATGACGTTAACAATGTAGTTATCTTTTACTTGAAGCCAATCCTCTTTCAAACTATGGTAATGCTACAAAGGTTTATTGTAACCCCAACATTAATGAAGGCAAAAAATTATTTGCCGTGTGAGTTTCAGTTTTTTTCTCAATTCCTACGCGATATTTGTGTATGTTACCCTCTTCATGTTAATATGTCTTTTTTATTTTAGTGCTCAACAATTATTTAAGGTGTCTCAAACCTTTTTCCAAATAGCTGATGGCAATATTGATTACTTCAGTCCATCCTATATGCTTTCATTCCCCACAAGGATTCCAATATGCACCTTAAAGGACATCAATCATGTATATAGAACTTCTTTTTTGTCCTTCACTTTTTAATACATATTGCAAATCCATTTATCCAATTACTAATTGCTTTCTTATCTAATATTCCAATCAAATATTCTTTTGAATTAAGGAATGTGAGGTTGTTATCAATGGGAGGATATTGAAACTAGAGACTGCAAACGGTTGGTTCTATATAGGATATGCTCCATGTGACGCTAAGCCCAAGGAAAATGAGAACAATGTCCTATATTGCAATGCAAGACTTGTAAACTGACAGATCTACTCTTACACCTAAGTAATTAAAAAATAATATTTTTTTTAAAGAAATCTCCTCTGTAGCTTCTTAATTATAATGGATTTGATGCCTCTATCTACAGGTTTATGGTCCAATATGCTATTGCAGATTCTACTAGTCGTGGTTCTATAGTTTTCTTCAATCATCATGCTGTGGAATTATTTGAAACAACTACTCAAGAGCTGCTACGCCAAGTCAGGAGACCACTCTCATCTACAATCATCTATAGTTACTTTAATTTCCTATGACTTTAGTTTACTTTTTTTTATGTTTTTTTTAGGTTACTAGGGAAGGATCCTTCCCTAGGAAACTAATTCTCTTGCTAGAAGGGAGATGTATTAAGAATCAACTTAGATGAATACAATCTTCAACAAAGCAGGTCTAATTAGTGTATCTCAATATAGCCAAGACATTGAGATTCTGGAAAAGTTTACGTACTTAGATGGATAGGTGTCCTAACAAAATATATTGATATTAGTAGTAAATATATGCCAATATTATGATAATATGGTTGTTTTAATTTATTGTTGGCCATTTATTTTTTAAAGGATCTAGCCACTTATGAGAGCAAAGCAGAGGTATTTTTTAATTATAAACATATATACAAACTTTGATTGTAATCATGGATATGTTTTCACTTTTCATAATTGAATTCAATATAGGCATCTACTTCGGTCTTCTTTGACAATGAACAACTACTATCCACTCTAAGTGAATCGTCCGAATCAAAGAGCAGCCTGAAATACACCAAGATTTTTGATGACATAGAATTAGCCACACTTGAGACTTTTTCTGCTTCTAAGATTAAAAGCAAAAAATGAACATCTTTCTATATAGAGAAATCTGTTCCAAGTTCAAATGGTACAAAGTGAGATGTCTAGACCATCATTCACACCAACAAGAATGCTCGAGTGATCAAGAAGGAGAAGTAGAGAATGTTTGGATCATTAATAAATTACTATCTAAGTTTTTGAGTTTATTATAATTTCTTTTGTAAGGTTGCTTAGACTAAAACTCCAAGGATTATGGAATTTGGTTATCTATTCATTTTATAGGAATATGGCAAAGCATTGATCCTTTTAGAAGCTTGCTTTAAAATAAATTCCCTCAAATATACTTCTTGATTTTGAATTTTTGACTTTTATATTTGAATTGAAATTCAATGATGAAATGAATTTAATATCCTCTCTATATAATTAAAAATAATGATTTCTGTTTCTTCTAACTATTTGTGGAAAAAAAGTCTAGGCAAATGTTAATCTTTAATTTTTAAATTCATCTTTTTTATGCTTCACCTCGACCATGGTGAATCCATAATCTTAACATAATAGAAAGAAACATGTTATATGTATCATCTAAAATATTATCATCATTAATTTAAAAACTATTAATGTAAAGCATAAGAAATGGGGAAAAATATAAAAACAATTTATTTCAACAAAAAAATCCCTTTGACAATTCATGTGCTTCCAACAACTCTCAATATTAAAATTCATAAACATTGTTATTTGGTGGATTTATTACCTGCGTCAAAGATTCCAAAGTAAATGAATTTACCAACATACATAGCTCCCTCTTATCTTATTCACAATATCCATGTCATTTTTCTAAACTTTCTATAAAGAGGATTGCAATAAAGGCCCCTGTTAATTCTTTTTTAAATATGCATCTATTTTTTTACATAAATAAATTCATATGTAGATGGCACTTTAACCAAAGATATTAATTACAAAAAAATCTAATTCAATAGATAATTTTTGGTGAATCAATTGTCCTCCAATGTTTTTTTTCGAAGTTATTGGAAATGATGCAAACGCATCTTTTCCCCACATTCTCATTCAATTTCATATTGGAAAAGTAAACCTTCTAATTAAGGGTGCTCCAGCAAGTGAAAATCAATATTGAATGGTTACCATACTAGAAATTATAATAGCATTAAGTACAAGGCAAAATATTTACCTTCTGTAAGATATTTATTGGTTTTAAATGTCTTACCCAATTGCATTATTTAGATTCTGGCACCTCCTTTAATATATAGAGAAATTGCTAATTAGAGTAGATTAGAGAAATTGCAAATGAAAAATACATCATGAAGATCTCTTTCTGAAACTCTCTTTGCTTCCATCTCTCTATGAATCATGATTTTGTGAAGGTCTATACTTTTCAATCTTCATATCCCAACTTCAGTCACCAATCCCTCTTAAATGGAGAATATCAATGGTAAACTTCTTTTCACTTTGCAATTTGTCCCTCATTCCTCTAAACTAATAATTATCTATCTCATACTTATCTGCAAAATCCTTATCACTGTCCTCAATGGTGAAGAAAAGAAAGGCTGCTAGAATGAACATATTAGATGAACAACTATCAAATCACACCCCAAGTGTAGGAATAGACCAATCATTTGCATTCTTATCACTGTCTTATAAAGAGAATGAATGGCCCCAATCTTCTACTTTTATAACAAATGATGCAGCTCCTCCTGTTATTGGTAATATAAGTCTTAATAGTGATGCAAATTTCAAAAGGAAACCAATTCAAGATCTCTCAAATGGTAAATTCATATTTATATAAATACTTTTAATTTAATTTCTCTTTTGATGTTTTAGGCTCTCCTCTAACTATAATGGGCTATAATAATAGTATATTCCTTTCCATTCATATGAATTTTCTCCATCAATGCTTTAAAATAAAAAATGAATTATTATTAATTATTAGTTACTAATTACAACACGTATAGCAATGGACCAATCCTTCCCATTATTATCCCAGTTTGTAAAGAGAATGAATGGCCCCAATCTTCACCTTGTATGGCAAATAATGTAACTCCTCCTATTACTATTAACATAAGTTCCAACAGTGATGCAAATTTCAAAAGGAAACCAACTCAAGAACTGTCGAGTGGTAAATTCATATCCATTTAAACACTTCTAATTTCTCTTCTGATA